TAATTCTATTTGAGCCATGATTTCTTTTACTTCCTACGTGGTGACCTGCTCTTTCTGTTAATGTGTATGTGTTTGCGAATGTGTATGTGCACATGTGCAGGTATGAAAAGAAGACAGAAGAGGCAATTCTACTGGGAACTCTTCTATTTATAGAGAATGAAACATAATCCCACAAATACTGAAGCCAGAAAAGCAACCCCAGAGTTCCACTGTACCTAAGATTAGATTGTCGATAAAAATGCTGACAAGTGTGCATGTGAATAGCAAAAGGAGACAGCTGTTGACATAAATAAATGATATTTGGAGTCCATAAATACATAACTGAAAGAATAGGGGGACAATGGGCTGCCATCTCCTGAAGCATATAATAGCAAATTCTGATGATTGTTCACTGGAGACTGAAGGACACGGCTTATCAGAAATGAACCCGCTTGCATGAATTCAAGGAAGTGTCAGGGTGGGGTGCCACCCAGCCAGGCCTTCTCATGGGAGCCAGTGTTAATACAGCCATAGGTCAGGCCCAGCTGGCCTCCAGCTGCCACAGGTGAGGTGTGATGCAAATAAGCCATGCTCTGGTGACGACAGCTCCTCATCTGTGGAAGGACACAAGGATTCTGAATTTATTTTTTAATGATCAGGATCTTTCTAGCCTGGAAGGCAAGTGATAAAAGTACCATGGGGCTTATATCTAGGAAAGGAAAAGTTTTGTGGGATCTGTGATGACTCTGTACACACACACACAATGTGTTTCCTACATCCTCCCTGCTAAGGGCCTTCCTTTGAATTAGGTCATTGAATTACTGTGAAAATGTCCTTCTATTGCCTGGAGGCTGGGATCTCTCCATTTACACAGTGGTGGCCATCAAGCTGGGAGCACCATTTTTGATATGTTATTTTGACGCAGAACTAAAATCTAATTCTAACACATTCCAACAAATAACTATAAAAATTGGCAATAAGATGGAAATAATAGTAACGCCAATATTTAGATACGGAGCCTCCCCCAGAGACTCAGGTGTTGAAGACTTGGACCCCAATGCAGCCATGTTCAGAGGTGGGGCTTTTAGGAAAAGATTAGATCATGAAGACTCTGACTTCATCAGTGGATTAACCCATTAATGGAGTAATAACTTGATAGGAAACTCTAGAGGGCGGGGAGCCTAGTTGGAGGAAATAGGTCATTACTGTCTCTATCTCCCGCCCCCCCCCCACTCCCCCCACACACAAGACATCTGGCTGTCACAAAGTGAGCGGCTTTCCTCCACCACATCCTTCTGCCAGATGTTTTGCCTTGCCTCAGGTGGTCATCAACTACGGACTGAAATCATGAGCCCAAATCGCTCTTTCCTTTTAAGTTGTTTTTCCCAGGTATTTTTCCCCCCAGTGATGGAAAACTGATTAACAATGTCCAACAACACTTGAGGATTAGTACCTCCTAGTCACTGCTTTGGATATTTTATATGCAGTAACTAGTGTGATTCTTCAAAGGACCTATGAATGAGATACTTTCCCCCCATCTTATAGGTAAATAAACTAAGGTATAAAGAACCTAAGAAAAAGTCAAAGGGCACCTAGATGATAAATGTCAAAACCAGAACCTGAACCCTAGGCAGTTTAGCTACAGAGTCTGCTCTGATCTTCTTTGATCGTGTGCCTTGAGATATCTTTTTCCAACTTTTGGTTTTCATTTATAGAATTCCCACTTAAACTTTAGATAAGTAACAATTTGTAATAACTAATAATATTCCACACTTATATTAAAAATTATTCATTATCTATTTGAAATTTGAATTTGTCTTTGTGTCTTGTTTTTATCTGCTAAATATTCAAACTCTATCCAAAAGGAATTGTATGCACCAAAGAACCAAAGAAAAAAAAATTTAATTGGTTCAAGCTTTGGTACCCAATCCCGAAGCAGAACTTCTATCACAGGACTAGCCTAGGGTCATAAATATTTGTCTTATCCTGGAAACAGTATAAAATAGCAGCTCTCACACCTGCCTGGATGTGAGCATTGCTTGTATAGTTTTAATAATATACATGGTTGGGCCTAACCTGTTTAAGATTTAGGAGGTTTAGTACGAGATAGGGAGATCTGTATTTCCTAATGAGCTCCTAAAGGTTTTCTCCTTTCCCTCCCTCTCTTTCTCTTTCTTCTCTTCTTTTTCTTTCTCTACCCTTCTTCTTTCTTTATAGTTTCTCTATTCATGATCAGCTTAAAGACTAGTCCAAGCCCTGACTGTCAGCTGTAGTTAACATTGCTTGTGAATCCAAGGAGGCAGCCCAGGATACACCTGCAGAGTGAGAGGAAGAGGAAATAAGGAGACTGGGTAAGAAATTCCTCATCATGTCCAGAGCTGTGTCCAGGATTTTTTGAGCTGTTTTTCAGCCTCAAGCCTGAATTACACATGGAAGAAAGATTTTTTCAGAGGGAGAGAGGGAGAGGGAGAGGGTGAGATCCATATGACTGCCAGGACTTTCATCTGGAAGCAGGCCATGGCATAAAAGAAAACAGATGACACCCACATGCACCAAAACTTGTTATGGTGTCCCTCCAAAAGACCATGCGTGAGACAACACAGAAATGTTCAGGAGTGAAATGATTAGCTTAGGAAAGCCTTAACCTCATTAGTGGATTAATCAGCTGATATGGATTAACTGGGCAGTAACTAGTGTGACTAGAAAGGGCATCCCTTTGGGGTTTATATTTTGTCTTTGGTGAGCAGAATTTCTCCCTCAGTTTCTATACCCTGAGCCACTTTCCTTCCCCACTCCCTTCTGCCATGATGTTCTACCTTAGCCTGGGCCAAGAGCTTTCGAGAGGGCTGACCATGGACTTAACTTCTGAAGCCATGAGCCCAAACACACTAGTCTTCCTTCAAGTTGTTCTTGTCAAGTCCTGAGGTCACAGCATTGAACAACTGACTGAAACCACTCTGATCCTATTGGATATCTCCAGCACTACAGATCAAATAATACCTAGGAATTCAAATTTAAAGAATCTTCCCTGGAAGTGAGGAAACGTGGGAAAGAGGCTGGAAAGTACCCAACCTCCCTCTGCATTCTGGCTGTGCTTCTGGAGGTGTTGTAAAGTCAATTTAGTTAGGCTTGGCAATTTACCCATAAAAATAAAGTAAATAAAAATGAATAGAAGGTATTCAAGGCACATCTCAGAAACAGTTCAGATTTTTATATATATATGTGTGTATACACACACACACACACACACACATATAAAATAAAATATAGTAAGCCTCTGTATGCATGGTTTCAAATCCATGAATTCAACCAACATGAAGGGAAAATATGCTTCTGAACTGAACACAGACTTTTTTTTTCTTGTCATTATTCCTAAAATAGTATCGTATAACAACTATTTACATAGCACTTGCATTGTATTAGGCATTACGAGTAACCTAGCAATGATTTAAATAAAGTATGTGGGAACCTGTGGGTATGTTACATGCAAATTTTATGCTTTTTATTTGAGGGGCCCGAACATCTACACATTTTGATATTTTCAGGGATCCTGGATCCAGTTCCCGGCAGATACAAAAAGACGAATCAATATGTGTTTTGCCCATATTCAAGTTATACACATATTTCTTTCTGTGGGATCTCATCAAAAAGTTTGAAAAATCCTTCTCTAGAGACAAATATCCATCATATTTGGAAAGTAGAGAGCACAGGCCAGAGATCATAGGCCTCACTGTAGATAAGCTTTGGGAAGCAAAACCTAGGAGAATGTTCTGGAGCATGGGGTATGGCCTAAAGATGTTTAGTGCAATGGATTTAGTAGGAGTCTTCAGTGAGCAAGATGGTGGGGCCTGAGAAGGCCCACCCACCCAAGAAGGAAAGTAAATGCATAATTGTATGTGTCACATTGCTTATTTTTCATGCTTCCTTGGAAAACCCTAGGAAAGGTCTCTGTTATAAAATAGCTGTAGTAGTCCTTATTCTGCCTCTCAGGCCTTTCCCATTTCTTTAGATGAGGGAGCAGAATGTGGGACAGCTGGTGGGGATGGCAGGACTTGTGTGCCATTTAAAATGCACACAGGAAGCAGGGGAAGGGAAGGAAGGGACAGACCCACTTTGTTCTCTGTACTGCTAATCAAGGTCAGTCATTCCAATGGTAGGAATTACATTTTAAAAATATTTTCTCCTGTGGAGGTGTAAAAGAAATGTTGAAAGGCCTTAGATAGGGAAATGTTCTCTCAAGTCCTATCAATGCTATCCATTGAAACTTCGCAGTGACATGCGTGTTCATCGTATGCCACCCAACATGGTAGCCACTAGCATCATGTGGGTATTGAGCATTAGAAATGTGGCTAGTAGGACTGAGAAGCTGATTTTAAATTAACTTATGTTTTAATTAAAGTTAAAATACAGAGACCCACAAGTGGCTAGTTGCTACTGTATTGCACAGGATATTTCTAACCTATTATAATTTTTCTTTGACACCAAAAAACTTGGGATGAAGGATTAATTTTGTGACCATGTCTATGTGCTGATTTTTGTTCAAATTATTTGAGATAGCTTTAAGTTTGAGAACGATTTGTTGCTAATTACATCAGCTAAAAAGAAGGAAATTTTCTGGAGTGGTTTAGTCTTATTTTTGTTTAAACATTCAAAAATCTATCCTTTTATTTATGGTTCTCAGGATCTTGGGTTATTTTAATGCTTTATTTCCTGAGATGAAAAGAAAGCATCAGTGAAACATAAGTGCACCTAGTAATAATGTTAATCAAGTCATGATTTAAAAAGTCTCTGTTTGATCAAATTTGATCACCTAGAAGAGAGGTCTACTACAATTTTCTACTAAGCTTGCAAAGACAGAAATTTACTCGTTCCAAATGGGAGCTGAAGTCATGGTGTCACAGGCTATGTGATGTGGAAAACTATTCAAACATGCAAGAGGACTGCCGGGCTCAGTTAGGCCCTTTGGTGGTGTGCATTTCTACATTTTGATTTGCAATTCTTGTCTTTGTATCTCAGCCTTAAGAGGTGTGTGGCCTGTTCAGTCATAGACTATGTACCTGGCTGCTCACCTGCAGTCCAGGGAGAGGAGAGGGACTGCGGAAAATGAGAGCCGGAGTGTTGTGGCTCATCTCTTTCTTCACTGTCTTTAAGGGCCACTGCAGCTTCCTTGGGGTGAGTTGGCAAATGTTCATTTTTCTTCTCAATCATCTCTCCTCTCTGCTTCTGGCACTTTTAGATTGGTTACTCTCCAGGTAACTGAAGCTGCATAATTTAATGGACTTGTAATCAGAAGTCCTGAGTTCTTGTCTCAACATTAACATTCACTATAGTGTCTTAGATAAGTCATTACTTCTCTTTGGATCTCAGATGACCAAACTGCACAATGATCATTGAAACCATCTTGGAAAACTTGTCTAGTTCAAGCATTCTCTAGTATGGCTTTTTGGACACACAAAAAAGCATATGGATTGACATGAGCAGTGTTGGAACCCTCTCCTTTATCTCAACTCCCTTTCTGATGCTTTTTTCCAGGACCAAGGTTTGAATGATTTCTGCCTGCTGATGACTCTCAAATGTGTATCTCCATCCCAGACATTTCCCCTGAACTCCCCCATCCCACACACACCCCATATCCACTTGCTATCTCTAGCTGAGCACCCAAAGGGTTCTCAACTTCATGTATCTAAATCAAATTCTTGATTTCATCTCACTAAACTGATTCCTCCTTTGCTCTCTCAGCAGGTGGTATCACTTCTTCAGCTGCTTAGGCAAAAAACATGGTGTCATTCCGTGATGGTTCTAATAATCCATATCTGAATCATTTGCTTTATCTTTAAGATACATCCAGACCCAAACACTTCTCACTCTCTCCATGACTCAACCTTATTCCACACCCTCTTTATCTCTCCCCTGTGTTGTTTCAAGAACCCCTGAAATGCTCTCATTGCTCCTGTGCTTGTTCATTTTCAATGCGACGTAAGAAGTGAGGCTTCCAAAAAGTAAATTAAAGCATGTTCAAAACTCTCCACCTCCCACTCAAGTAAAAGGTAAAACCCTTTTCTGCAGCCGGTAAAGCTCAACACAACCTGCCTGCCCAGAGTTCTAATCTCATCTCCTCCTCCTCTCCTCTCACTTGCCCCCCTCAGCTGCTCTTTCATCTGGGCTTTGCTTTCACACATCAGGCATAGTCCTATCCCTGGCCTGTGCACTTGCTTTTCCCTCTGCCAGGAGAGTTGTTTCTCCCAGGGTTGACGCTTCCTCACCTGCTTTAGGTCTTTGCTCAAATTTTTCTCCAGGGCAACTTTTCCACCATGCTTGGCTTAGATTTTAGATTCAAGATTTTAATTCATCTGGGAAACTCAAACCCTTATGATGTTCAACTTTCTAAAGCCTCACCATAACCATCTTTTCTCCCTCTTCTTTTTAACAGAGAAATGATGGCGTCAAAACAAAAAGAGTACTCAGTGTGGAAAAGGCAGGTGAGACTCCATAGCCTGGTATAGTGGGCTTCAGTTCCAAGAGAACAGGGTTGTAACCCCAGCAGTGCCTCTGACTGGTTACATGATCTTAGGCACATTACAAAATAGTTCATGCCTGTGAAATGAGAATAACGGCAATTCCTAAGAGCAAGATATCTGATGATTAAATGATGTAATAAAAACATGTATCTTGTGCCATTCCTGGGTCAAATTGCAGCTCCATATTCTTCCTTTTCTTCTATGCCTTAGTCCTAGTGATGTAATTCATGGTAACAACCCTCAGGCTAATAATGGATTGTATTCTGAAATTCAATTCACAAATCTGATGTTTTAAGCACAGAATGTATTTCCTCACACAAACGGTGATCTACATGGATAATAATAAGTTTCCTGGGTCAGTCCACAAAAATCTTTTAACCATGCAATGCATTTGTTATACTATAATGTGCTAATAGTACCATAGAACATACATACCACCATGACAGACTACATTTCTTTAGGAGAATGAAATACAAATTTCAACTTGGAATGCTGCGAATACATTTTCCCTGACAGTAGAAATGCCAGAAAAAAATATTGAGTTGTTACTATTTGTCAGACACTATTTTAAGTACTTTAATCCTCACACCAGTCCTCTTAGTGAAGTAAGACTATTATCTATATTTTACTGTGTTAGTCAGCTTTTTGTCATTGTGACCAAGACACCCAATAAGAACAACTTAGAGGAGGAAAACTTTATGTTGGCTTATGATTTCAGAGGTTCAGTTCATCATCAGCTGACTCCATTACTCTGGGCCCAAAGTAAGGCAAAACATCATGGTGAAAGGGCATGGTGGAGGAAAGTTGCTGACCTTATGGCAGGAGAGGGGGTGGGGGAGAGAGAGAATGAGCCAGGAACAAAATATAATCCCCATCCCAGTGACCTGCTTCTTCTAGCCATACCCCACCTGCATATAATTACCACCCAGTAATTCACTCAAATTATTAATCCATTAAATGGATTAATCCAGATTAGGGTACAAATCTCCTAATCATTGCACCTCTTCTAAATATTCTAAACATTTCTGCATTGCCACACAAACTTTTCAGGAGGACATCTCACATCCAATGTGCAACATTACAGTTAGTGAATTGAAGGCACAGAGATAGGGACTGTAAGTAGGATTTGAACCCAGTTAATCTGGGTCCAGAACCAGTACCTTTAACCACTGACAGTGTGACCAGCATCATTTATTCCCCTGTTCTCACCTCTTAGGAAGAGATTCAAGCCTTTAAAGAGATAGGCAGTGTATGAAAAATAGCTGAGATGATCTATGAGTCATCGATAGATGAGCCACAGAAATTTCAGAACAAGTTTTATGTGAATGTGCCAAAATGAATTTGGGGTGGGAGAAGACTCCTGGAATTCATCTTCTCTCTCAGTCAGTCAAAAACACTAGAAAGCTCACACTGGCCCCCAGAGTTAGGTATAGTGGTCATCTTTATTTTACAGATAGAGAAGCTAAGGCACAGAGATAGGGACTATAGGAAGGATTCTGGCTCCAGAAACAGCACATACAAAGATCCAAAGATGAAAATATGTGAAGGCAGAGCAAGGACACCAGAAACAAAAAGTGCAGCAGATCTGCTCTTGCAGAAAGAAACTTTCTAATTCCAGATATAGTTAGCTGGAGATAAGGATACACAAAATCTAGAGTCAAGGTTTAGTTTCCTTTTGCTTTTGTATTTCATGTCAATATTCAAAAGTCAGCTAATTAATGAAACATTTATACAGGAGAAGAAAGTGTTCCTTGGAAAGTGGGAGATTGGAGGGGTTTCTATTAGAGCTACTTCCAGGAGACCAGGGCTGAGAAAGGAGGAGGGAAGAATGAGTAGGATTTTCTCATTCTTCTCCCTTCGGTCTGGATGAGACAGAGGGCACTGGAACCATTGGCCTGGCAGAAGTGAGAGGAGAGACATATATTAGGCATGTGTGGGAGTGAACTGTTTGTGTTCACTCTGGATGTTCATGTTCAGTCTGCGTCTGGATGAGCAGAACTCAGTAACAAGCATCATGGTTCAGCTTGTGACCTCTAAACAGAATCTGTTGACTGCTTCTGAGCTACTTCCTCAGCATCTCCCCCAGCAAAGATGGAGACTGCTAACTAACAATCTTTCTGTTTAGTCCAAGATCAGGAATATGAGCTGTTGCTTCAGGTGACCTACAGAGATTCCAAAGAGAAAAGAGAGTTGGAGAGTCTTCTGAAGCAACTGAAGGCTCCCTCGACATGCTTGTCAGCACCAATGGAGATCATCAGGGTGAAGACCACAACGTGTAAGTCCCCTCTGGTGACTGAGAGTGTAAGTGTGGAAGGTGAGCTCACCAGCCAGGGTAGGTTAGGTTATGCTGTGGAAACAATCATCCCCACAATCTCTATGGCATTAAAGAACAAAGGTTAGATTTCTTCTTCATGTTTTATGTTCTTGCAAGTTGGAAGAGGGGCCATGTCTGTGGTCATTGCTCAGGTATCCAGACTAAATGAATCAGGCCTTATGGCAAATATATTCATTCTGAGACAAAAAGAAATGGAATACTAGAAAGTCTCACATAGGAACTTTTGACTTAGAGGTGACATATACTAATTTTGTTCCCAATATATTGATCAGAACTAGTTCTATAGCAGGCCAAGATGTGAAATCCTTCCCTGTGCATGGAAGATAGCAAGAAATTTGGCAAACAGCACTAATAATCACAAAAGTGGGGTTCAGAGAAATTGAATGGCTTGTCTAAAGCAGTGATTCTCAAAATGTGGTGCTCAGACAAGCAGGAGCAACATCAGCATCACCATCAGGAAACTTAATAGAAATTAAATTCTTGACTCCATTTCAAGTGTACTGAATCAGAAACTCTGGAGTGAGACCCTCCAGGGGAATTTTTTTTGTGCTTGATAAAGTTTAAGAACCACTCACTGAATATCTCCAGGGAACCATTCATTGCATGCCACTGTGCATGTTTTCACAAAGGTAGCTGTTGACTTTGTTTGTCCCTGTCCCTTTTTTTAGCATATTAAAAATACTGATTTTTGTCCAAATACAAAACTATGAACATACAGGATTGGCTAATGGAACTTTTCATCATGGCTCCCCCCAAATAGTTTCTACCTTTGCCATCCTGCTTTTAGGGCCTACCTTGGAGTGGTAGCTTGTGGAAGAAGGGAAACTCCAATTAGATAGTGGTCAAGTGCCCTTTAAAATCTTTCAAATATCTCCCATGTTACAAATATACTCTTCTGCATCTTTCTTCCATTGCAATGGATATTTATGGGGCATACATCCTTCTTTTGGATGCTAAGACCAGCCATGCTAGTTTTATATTTGGTAGGTTTCCATTACTAACCTTGGACTCTATTGAGGTGGACATTTCCTTAACTTAAACATACCACCATCTTGATTTTGTCTTTCTAGCTCTTGGTGAGATATACTTGCTTCAGATTCCAAGTCAGTGTCAAGGATCAGAACTTGGAAGTAGTCAGCTTATAGATGAGGCTTTGTGGACCAAGTTCTGTTTTTTTGGGCAGACTGTAGCAGCCTGAATGGGATCCTACAGTGTGACTGTGAAGACAGCCACCTCTGGTTTCCTCCTTCATGCCTGGATCCCCAGCACTGCTATCTTCACACAACTGGATCTCTCCCAAGCTGTGAATGTCACGTCAGCAACCTCAGCCAGAGCATCAATTTCTGTGAGAGAGCAAGTAAGCACATTGGAGTTCATTGAGCCTCTGGGCATCTCCCGATTAAAGGGAAGGTACTCTGGCCCTTCACCTCACTGAGGAGAGTTAATACTTAGAGGGAGATTGGAAGATGATGGCCATGTGCTTTTTATCCTTGTCTTACAGCCAGTCAGAGCTCCATAAGTGCAGGAGATACAGAAATGCAAGTTGGCATTTGGGTGTCATTTCAAAATCTAGGTACATCCAGCTCAGCTCTGCAACTGTATGATTCTATTAAGATTTAAAGAGAGCCCCTAAAATTCCAAGTAGGCAACTGTTTGAGTCACCACCATTTTTTTCCCTACTTTCTTTTCACTCCTTTGGCAACATCAGTTCTAGTGAAGTGAATGCAGGGAAGAACACATGCATAATGATTATGTTGAAAGAACTCTGAGTTGTCAACAAATATGTGTGCTGAGTGCATTAAAAGAAGAAGGAAAGGCAAGTAGGCAGATGTTAAAAATTTAGCTCTGGAAAACTGTTGCTTTAGGATGATTTTCAATGAATGTTGAGATGAACCAAATGATATGGACTCCAGGGCTTAAAGAAATTTAAGAAGCTTCCCCAAAGACTACTCTGGTCATCTTGAAGCTCTGGATTCTAGTTGAGCTCAGGAGAGACAGAGAGGAGTCTGAAGTAATTGGGCATCTGTGGTTTTCTTTCCCACGACCAAGTTAAGTTAAAACAATGTGCATGTATTAAGTACCATCTTTATATCCAGTTCTAGAGGATACACAAGTGTTTTTTTTTTTTTTTTTTTTGCTATTTATGAATTATCAGGCTATTTGGGGAGGCCAAGAGATGATACAAGAAAGAAAATGATATAATTTCTTCAGCGAATATAGATAGAAGCCTACCTTTTCTAAGATGGTCCATATCTGGTCCATCTTCAAGAAATACAAAGATGGATCGAAAGGGTATTACATTCATAAGGGTCTTCCCATAGTATTGTGGGGATGTGTATAGATGAGACACATATGTAGATATTTTGGTATAAGAGGCTGTAAGGGAGGTATGGAAAAAAATTCTGTAGGAATTCACAGGTAGAAAAGGAAAGGGTTTACAGAAGAGCTGACATTGGACTAGGTCCCAATTGAAGGAAAAACAGGATTTGTGTATTCAGAGAGCTGTCCCAGTGCAAAGGAATACTAACAATGGGCAAGTAAGCAAGGAGTGTGTCAGGGTTAGCCAGAAGTGCTTTAAAAAGTTTTGATGGGGGCAGTGCTTAAGCTCAATGCCTAGATGAGGATTTCTTTATTTCAGAATTCAGTGACTATCTTTTCTATCCACCCATGAGTGGTCATACATTTATCTACTTCAAAGGTTGTCTTGATGACCAGCAGTTTCCCATTACTGTTGAAAATACACAGTTTGAAAACTCTGGTTTTATATGTTTTCTATTATTTAGTGAATATTCATCATAAAATAGTTGAAATACCACTGGTGATAAGATGTTTTCTTGAGTTACACCTTTATAATTTTATGCGGCTAATAAAATCAAGTTAGAAACTCATTATCTAAAAATTTCTTTCTATTTCTCATAGAGATTTGGGGCACTTTCCAAATTAATGGAAAATTTACAAAAGACCTTTTAAATTCATCTTCTGCTAAATACTCCAATTATACAACTGACATTAAAGATAAAGTAAGCACATTTTACTTATTGCATACGAATTGTTCACTAAATGCTAACTCAGATATTTTCAATTCAGTATATACATTTAAATACATTTAAAAAAAATTCACTGAGTTATTACAGAGAAGTTATTTGCTGTGCTCACAGTTGGCATTCCTTGATCATTTTATTTCCCCTAGGATAGTTTGTCAGTTGACTTGCTCATGTGTTCAGTTTTGCTCACTTACTTGAGCATTTACACAAAGGATTCTTGGTAATTTTCTGATTTTCATGTGTCAAAAGAAAATTTTTACAACCTAAGTTCAATTGTCAGCATTGTGGATTCTTCCATAAAAAAGAATCTCTTGTTGGAGGCCAAAGCGAGTTACTGAGCAAAACTCTGGGCTTCATAATGAAGACACATGAAAACCAGATCCATCGTTGCCCCTCTGCCTGAGACTGTGGCCCAGGTGTGGTTCATGAAGACATGAACAAATGGATTCAGTTTAAAGACCTATGAAAATTAAATGGCTTGATTTTGATATGGATAAAATAGATTTGGGATAAATTTATTTGGTACCAAATCCATACCTTATCCTAAGCAGTTGGTCATTCACTCTTGAGTAGTGATCTCAAAATTAAATTTTACGAGTCTCTAAGTCTGCATGTGTGTGTATGTATATGTATATTCCCAACTGTGATTTTAACTGTGTATTTGTTATGACCTACAACCATTTCCCACAGTACCTCTTTCCTTTGCTTATTTGCTATTTTTGATTCCCTTATCTTCTGCAGCCATTTTTTGTTCAAATGTCTTTCTCAAGTGCAAGGACAGAGATAACACATTGCCTTTTGTTTTCTTTCTAAGCTTACAGAAGTATACAAAGAAATTCAAGGTTTTGAGTCAGTGGAGGTTACCCAATTTTGGTAAGTAGCACAATGTCCTTAGAAGGGCATCTCCAGAGCTGTGTACCAGTCCTGCTGAATGACACGTCCTATTCCCAGGTGACCTTGACAGAAAACAGGGCAGAGCTAGTCTTCCTACTAGGGTTCTTACTCTGATGCTTTCAAAGTTCTGAAGAGGAAAGTCTAGATTCTCCTTTAGGTGAATTTAGGAACTTCAACATTGAAGAACATTTTCAAAACTGTGGTTCAGGAGTAGAGCTATAAAAACAGACCTTGGAAGGAAACAGGAGTGTGCATGTCCAGGAAGGGGAGAGGGTGGGGAGGAGGGGTGAGGGTTGTAGAGGGATGGATTTTTTCCTCCCACAGCCATAAGGGACATGATGCTGTATGATTCAGAGCCACGGGGCGGGGGCGGGGGGGGGGAGACTTGGGTGAAATATTATCTTTTTGTGTAGATGTCACATATATATCATGATTCAGAATCCAGTAGTCATTGTCTATAGCAAATAAAAAGATATTTAGTAAATTATCCTTTTGTTTATGCTTTAACTCCAAAAGTTATTTGCTTAGTTAACCATGTGTACATTGATTGCCAACTATTAATAGTGTGCTTAATAGAGGAAATAGCTTAGAGGTCAGAGAACTTGACTCATTATTATTATTTTTTTTAACAATTAACTTTTAAAAAAAACATTGGGAATTTTCAACAGCATTTGCTATAAATTCGTTGTCTTGAGCATTCCCCTTTAAGTCATCCTGTGTCTCATATAAATAATTTCCTTTAAATTTAGTACCAGGAAAAACACTGCTTTCTTTTTTCAAATGTTGAGTCTGTATCATTGATCATATTTTCCTTTTGACTTTCCTGTCATCCAACTTATAGCCAAAATTGAAACTCAATCACAATGATTTTTGTATTCTATATTATAGTTTTTCCCCATCTTGGTCCTGATTTTCTGCCTACATTTCTAATTTACATTTCATCATGTGTGTTTTATAAACTGTCCCCAGTAATTTATAGACACAATCACAGTCAAAGGAGGCATAAGCTTATAAATATTAGGATTGACTCTTAATGTACATGATTTAAAATCAATCTTTCTCTCACTCTCTCAAATTACTTATCTGTCAAACAGGACATTTAGTACCATGAAACCTGTTTTAGTTCATTAAATCAAATGAAATTATAGACAGGAAAATTCTTCGTAAATAACATAGAAGGGTGATAAAATGCAAAGGCACTGTGACCACTGCTACACAAAAGGACATTTGTATTTATTGTGAAGCGAGCAGAAGTTTGACCTAGTAATTAAGGATTTGAGCTTTGGAGCATCACGGTTTTTAACCTATTAATTAATAAATAATGATCACCTGGCCCAACTTCTCTTTTGGCCTCATTTATCTTTAAAATGAGGGTAACACAGTGAACCCTAATTACAGGGTCACCTGATTAACACATGTGAGCTGATTTATATTTGATACCTTTAAACACATCTATAAGCTGGTAGTTTCTTTGCTACTTGAGCTTGGTCCCCACCCTAAAGTCCATTTTCAAATATCCAGCTGCCAACTTGACATCTCCTCTTGGTTTTCCAGTGGGCATGTCAAACACAGCACACCTGCACTAGGTATCCCCACAACTGTTCTGCTCCTGGCCACGGCCCACCTCACCATCTTCCACATCTCAGATACAATAATGCTGTCCTTCCAGTTGCACAAACTTACACTTTGGAGCCATCTTTTGTTTTGATTTTCTTTTGAGATATGATTTTCATACAGCAGTGTTTAAATCTTAAGTACACTTCAATCATCTTTGACAAACATTTGTATAAGCCCTTCCTATGAAGACAGAGTATTTCCATCACCCAGAAAGTTCCCTCATGTTCCTTTCTAGTCAATTTCCACCCCTACCTCCCACACTCTCTACTGCTGGTCTGATTTCTTCTAGGTTACTTTTGCCTCCTCTAGAATTATCACCTCACCCGTGGATTTTTGTATATCTGGCTTCTTTCACTTAGCAAAATGATTGAGATTCATCTTTGTTTTCTGACTATTTGTGGTGCCTTCCCTTTTATTGCCCAGTACTATTCCATTATATAAGTACACTAAAGTTGTTCTTCCATTCCTCGAAATTATTCTTGACTTGTTTCTTTCTCTCAAATCCTGCTTCACTGACAAGTTCTATACTGTCTTCCAGTCCAACCTGAATCTGACTCTTCTCTCCAATGTGCACTACTACCCCACAAGTTCAAGTTCACTACCTCCTTCCTTATTTGTCTCCTTTGAATTTATTTTCTACATAGCAGCCAAAGTGATGAGCTTAAAAAATAAATATAATCATACTATTGCCTTTTAATAAATTCTAAAACTTTTAAGATAAAGAATCAAATTCAAACTCTAAGGTCCTTGGTGATCTGGATCATGGCGATTTATCCAATATTACCTTTTATGTCTTTCTTTTTTACTCATTGAATTTTATTCAGGCCAGTCTTTGTCAAATTTATTTTCCTGCCCCAGATCTTTGCATCTGGTGGCATACTATCCAATATTCTTTTTTGTCACTGGAACTTTTCTTCTCTTCCTTTGGGCTTGAACGCTCCTTCACACAGAGAAGCCTCCCTGATCAGCTTTGTTTAATGTGAGGTCTCACCTCCATCTATTGTTCTGATCACTGTGCTTGTCTCTCATAATACTGAATAAAATTTGGAAATATACAGAGGGGTACACATGTGTGCATGTGCATGTGTGCATTTGGAAGTACCTTGTTTCATTTCTTACTTACCCTCCTTTTGTACTTGAAGAAGCATACCAAGTCTGTCTGGTTTATGCCTCTGGAACCCTATGTCACATACACACAGATTAGGCTCTGATTGAAGGAATGAATAGTGCATCTCATTTTTCTTTCCTGCCATCATTGCAGAGAGGGAAGCATTGTTGTTGGGTATGAAGTGATTGGCTCAAGCAGCTCCTCTGAGCTGCTGTCAGCTGTGGAACAGGTGGCTGCGAAGGCAAAGGCCAGACTGGGCAAGCTGTTTCCGCTGAAAGACGGATCCTTCATGGTGTTTGGAAAAGGTGATACTGGATTTCCATTTTTTTTTTGCTTTGATTAAGGGACTTCTTTAATTAGTGAATTTGTATCTTCAGGAAGTAGATTGGAATTTTTTTTTTCAAGAAGGAATTGTTCTAAAACAGACTTTCAATGGAAACAGGCAGCTGTTTCCCTCATCTTGGTAAAACTCAACTTTAGCTGACTATTTTAAATCCTTACTCATCGCTGATCTGATCTCCAACTCCTGGTATAAACATAATGGAAGACTGATTTCAGGGCAAGCTGTGATGGAAATTACTCAGAAATGGTGTACTGGTACATGTTGAAAGAGCCCTGGGGCTGATACAATTTCTAAATCACAGTGTGAGGACCCAAGAAAAGAATGCATACATCCTTGTCTTTAACGAAAACAGACACATGCACACACACCACTTTTTCTTGAAATAGTTTTGTTTTCCTTTTGCTTCTTTTTAAAATTTTTATTTGGGTTGACACATGATAATCATACATGTTTATGGGGTATACTTGCCTATATTGTGTTATGATCAAATCAGGGTAATTAGAATATCCCTCATTTAAATATTTATTTATTTATTTGTTGCAATGAGAACCCTCACAATGCTTTCTTCCAGCTATTTTGAAATATACAATATGATTCAACCATGGAAAAGGATGAAACCCTATTGTGGGATGAACCTGCAGGGCATATGTTAAGTGCAATAAGCCAGGCAGAGAAAGATAAAAGACAAATACTGCATGATCTCATTCATATGTGGGATTTAAAAACATTGATTGATGTCATGGAAGTTGAGATGGGGAACAGAATAAGGTCTGGTATTCTATTCAGAGTAAGAGGCCTGTAGTTAAAAAATAATATGTATTTCTTTTACTTCTTTATATTAAACCCTAGACCTCTCTTGCCAAGATTTTTGCCATTGTCTTTCAATAACATTTATTTGACAAATATTTACTAAGTGTCTAGGCACTTAGGACATAGCAATAGGGAAAACAAACAAAACCCCCAGCCCTATAGCTTTTGCATATGATATTTCCATTTCCCAATTTCAGTCATAATAAGAATATATTATTAAGAGCCAGTTGCATGGGATCCTAATTAGAATAAGTTATACTTTGTGTATGTATAATATGTCAAAATGCACTCTACTTTCATGTGTATCTAAAAAGAACCAATAAAAAAATTAAAAGAGGAAAGTTAAATAGAGATTGATTGCAATGTGAAATGCTGTTAAAGGGGTATAGAAGATATCACCTTTTGACCACATAATTACTACTTTGAGCCATAATGCCTTGAAGATTTTCTGACTTTCTGGTATTTTCTTAAAGAAAGAAAACATGTCCTAGGGTTGATCATATCTTCCCTTATTTTCACCTAATACTTCCTAGTTGGTAGCTCATCAAAAGGCAAAAATCAGACACATTGAAGAAAGAGCCAGCCTCAAGATGGAGGCATCAGGAAGGAGTACAGGTGCTCAAAGGAAAGAGGCTAGGTTAAATGCCTAAACAGAGTCACACTTCCTCCTTCTGAATTTTGCCTGGGTTTTATATATGAACATATGACTTCTAAAGTCTTTAAACACTACTACATGGGTCACACAGAGTGCTGGATATTCTGTATCATTTTTCCTGTTTTTCAGTCCAGTGTAACAGCATTTTCTTTGGATTTGGGTCTAAGAATGATGAATATACCCTGCCCTGTAGCAGCGGCTACACTGGAAATGTCACAGCCAAGTGCCAGCCCTCTGGATGGCAGGTCATCAGGGAGTCCTGTGTGCTCTCTCAGCTGGAAGAACTGCAGAAGGTGAAGTCTTTTCCTTTTGTGGACTTAGCCTGGGGTTTGAGTTTCACAGTAAGCATCTCCCAGTAAGCACAGCTTAGGGAGAGGGCAGAATATATCAAGTTGTATCATTGGCTACTTGCAGAAGGTGAGGCTGACATCAGACTGTGGCAAACCCAGGGAGTGTGGGCATGAATGGCAGAGTCTAGCTGACAGCTGAAAAGGTCAGAAAAGGTCAGTCATGCCACTTTATTTCAATAATATTTATTCAACAAATATTTAATAAGTGTCCAACGTGTCTAGGCATTTAACACCATCAGAATTGATGGTTTTGTCTGAAAGGGTGCTGCAAAGGAGGAAATCAGTGCTAAAGTCTATCATAAATGGTAGAACAGCAACTGATCTGGCTTTAGAAGTCCAGTGGCCTAAGAAGTGAAGATTAAAGTAGAAGTGTGAGTCAGAGGGCAATAGGTTTAATACAAGTGAGGATGTACACATATCAGTCATTGGGGCAGGGAGTGAGTCAGGCAAACCTGAGCCACAGAGAATGACAAATCTGCAATGGACCTTAGGGTCATTGGGTTCACAACCTCCTTCTGCAGGTTAGGAAACAAAAGACCAAGGAGCCAATGGTCTCTCTAGAAGCAATAGCATTGATCTACAAATAGTTACTTGATTCCCAATCCAATGATTTGATCTCTTCTCTTGCTCTCTTAGAAAGTTTTAAATACCAAGACACAGTAAATAGAATGAAGAAAGTGAAGAGTCAGGAAATAGAAGAACTTAAATCACAGCAAAGAATGACCTCAAGACCAGTTTACAAACACCATTCTGCTAGTAGGTCTCTACATTGAGTAGTATGTATATCCTGGCCACAGACCTGTCTATTGCAGTAGAGAACCCCAGAAGAGTATTCATCAAAATGTTGAGGAATAGTCATTTCTCCTTTTATGTACTCAATTTCTTCATCTGTAAAGAGGAGTTAGAGAAGGGAACCTCTAGGATCTGGTCTCTCCTTTGGCCTTATTTTTTGGACACGGGCAATATTTAGAACTAGTTCATCCCAGAATGTGAGGAAGGTACATTCCAGGTGCCCTGGGCAGATAACAGCCCTCTGAGCTAAAAAGAACAAGGAGAAGAGGTGGGGTCTAGGATCGTGGGGTGACATGTGTTGATGGGAAGGTAGCACCCTTCCCTTGCTGCCTTCCACATTAACCCAGCACAGCAGAAGCAGATGGGAGCATGAAAGAAGGAATAAAACTCCAAATTCAAGGGCAAAGTCAGGGTTGGCAAAAGTCTAGTAACTTCCACCATGTCCCTCCATCTTCCCATCCAGTGGGGATATAGCCAAGCATTAGTACTATTAGACCTTACACACCACTTTCTTGCTGAGTAGTTTTCGGAAGATCATCAAATATCACGGAGCAACGGTTTCTGTATAATTAGGATAATGATTTATATAAAGATGCTTTTTTATCTGATAAAATTTATTTATTTATTTAAGTTGTGGGAATTTATTTATTTATTTATTTATTTCCTTTTTTTAAAATTGATTTTATTTTTAAATACATGACAGCAGAATGCATTACAATTCTTATTACACATATAGAGCACAATTTTTCATCTCTGTATATAAAGTATGTTCACACCAATTCGTGTCTTCATACATGTACTTTGGATAATAATGATCATCACATTCCACCATACTTGCTAACCTCATGTCCCCTCCCTTCCCCTCCCACCCCTCTGGCTTTCTAGAGGTCTTCTATTCCTCCCATGCTCCCCTTCCCTACCTCACTGTGAATCAGCCTCCTATATCAGAGGAAACATTTGCAACTTGTCTTTTGGGGATTATCTAATTTCACTTAGCATTTTCTTCCCCAACTCCATCCATTTACCTGCAATTTTAATAAATATTTTAAGTTTCAGTCTTCTTAGCTATAAAATGACAACAATAATGGTACCTCCCTCAAGGATGTTTAAGGAATTCAAACAGTGAGTCCCTGGTAGAACATTTGGCAGTGTCTGTAATAGACAGAACCCTGAATGACAGTCATTTTTTAAAAAAATGACTGCTGTATACTTACTTTAGTATACACAACCCATACAAATGTTAGTACTAGGTGGCCAAGATATTAGATTTAAATTTGATGAAACCCAAACATTTCTGTTTTCTAGAACGTAACTATTTTTTATTTTGTAGAATTTCAGCCTGATTGCAAACAGCGCTACAGAGATGGACATGTCATCTCTGGTGCAAAATCTTTCAGTCATCATTCAGCAAAATCCATCAACTACAGCTGGAAATCTGGCTTCTGTGGTGTCAATTCTGGGAAATATTTCATTCCTGTCAATGGCAAAGAATTTCAAGGTGTCTAATTTGACGTTGGAGGTATGGTTTTCCTGTGTTTGCAGGGCTTTCTTTAAATGCTGCATCTTGTAGGAGAAATGACAAAGTCCTTAATAATGGAGGATCCCTTTGGAAAGATAGAAGAGCCATCTAACAGTCCTCATGTGAACTTTGTTCTTTCTCCATAGGATATAGGAACTCATGAGATCAATAGTGTGAGTTCAAAGTAAAAGGGAGTTACACCTGAGCATGCGGCATGGGCAGCACCTGCCTTAGAGAATGAGATGGGCTTTTTTATTATATGACTTGGGCTCCAGAATTTTGATACATGTTAGCAGCTTATAATCATTCTTTCCTGTGGCCATAAGCTCTGACTTTAGCTGTGTACATTACAAGAACTCTCTTTTCTCAACTGGGGAATTCATGGTTTCGTTTGGATATTTAAAAATTAATTTAAGATCACACAGATGGTATATGATCACTATAAGAAATGCAAATAAGCAAAAAGAAAATTAAGTGATCTGTAATCTCATCATCTTAGAATAGCAGCTGCTGCTTATATTCCAATTATCACCCCAGTGCCTGGAAGAATAACAAGTGGTGCACAGCAGTGCTCAATAAATATTTGCTCAATAAGTGTCCTTCCAAACATTTCAAATGTTTGCATTTTATATTTGAAGGTCTGTAACATTTTACAAAATCATATTATGTAATTTATGTAACAATCATACTTGACTATGTATGATGAAAATTATGTCGATTATGACATTAAATTTGAATAAGTTAAAGTCATAAAGAAAAGATACTCAGGTTTGTTTTTTGTATTTTATTCATAAGAGACCAGCTGAAATAATATGAAACAAAAAGGATAAGTATAAAATTAAGAGTGAAAACAGCACACAAACAGAGCAAGAGAAAGCAGAGGATCCTGGGGGAAGTAGAATAAACTCACTAGGCTCTGGGCCAGAAGACACAAAGGGCTGGATAGGGTAAAACCTGGCAGACACCTACAGCAAAATGCCCGGGAATCAGAGTCCAAAGCCAGAAAGAGGTCCTGTGGGAGGAAATAGCAATGTTTAAGGAGTTGCTTGGAAAAGGAATCTCTTAAACTCAGAGTGGCCCTAAAAACCTACAGCAATTCAACATCGATTTGATGCTTGGGTCTAGTTTGTAAGGATTTGTATTTTATATGTTGTATAGTAAACAAACAAAAAACATGAATTAAATCTTGACCACCCATGACATGGATTTTTAACTTCTGATGTTAGCAAAACAAACATCATAATATGGAAATTTGTCAAAATAATGTCTCCACATTATTACTCAGGAGAATGGGAATGCACCTTTGGGCACTGAAGGATGTATATTCAGCCCAGTGTGTTTCTGAATGCCTTGGGGTGGTCATCCTGGAACCAAGTTTCTTTCCCCAAAGTCTCTGCTGTGCAGAGTAGCAGAGCTGAATTTAATTGATGAGCTTCAATGTGATCCTCAGCTGAGTCAATTTTCCAAGCATTTTCCCTAAACTTAACACAAATAACTATCCACTCATAGACCTCTCATCTTTTTTACTGAAAACACTAACTTTCATCCTTGTGTTTCAGAATGTCATCAATATAGCTGATCATATTCTTAATTCATCATCAATAACTAATTGGACAATTTTATTGCAAGAAGAAAAGGATGTTAGCTCACAACTACTGAGGACATTGGAAAACATCAGCATTCTGATACCTTCAACTGCTCTGCCTCTGAATTTTTCTCGAGATTTCATTAACTGGAAAGGGATTCCAGTGACCGAAAGTCAGTATGAACTGGGTTATAACTATCAGATTGAAATGTTCCAAAAAAATACCTCCATTCCCATCAGAGGCCACGTGTTAATTGGACCAGACCAGTTCCAGAAGCCCCTTCCAGAAACTATCATCAACATGGCTTCATTGACCTTTGGAAACATTCTGCCCATTACCCAAAATGAAAATGTTCAGGTCAATGGGCCTGTGATATCCACAGTTATCCCAAACTATTCCATAAGTGAAATTTCCCTGATATTCTCTAAGATAGAGTCAAATCTGAGAAAGCCTCATTGTGTGTTTTGGGATTTCAGTCATTTGCGATGGGACAGTGGAGGCTGCCACCTAGTAAATGAAAGTCTAGATATGGTGACGTGTCAATGTACTCACCTGACCTCCTTCTCCATGCTGATGTCACGCTTTGTCCCCTCTGCGATTGTCCCTGCTGTGAATTGGATCACCTATGTGGGACTGGGTATCTCCTTGGGAAGTCTCACCTTATGCCTGATCATTGAGGCTCTGTTTTGGAAGCAGATCAAGAAGAGCCAAACTTCACGCGCACGTCATATTTGCATGGTGAACATAGCCCTGTCCCTCTTGATTGCAGATGTTTGGTTTATTATTGCGGCCACTGTGGATACCACCATAAACCCTTCTAGAGTCTGCACAGCTGCAGTGTTCTTTACACATTTTTTCTACCTCTCTTTGTTCTTCTGGATGTTCCTGCTTGGCCTCCTGCTGGCTTATCGAATCATTCTCGTGTTCCATCACATGGCTATGAGTTTGATGATGGCTATTGGGTTCTGTGTGGGCTATGGGTGCCCTCTCATTATATCAGTCATCACCCTTGCAGTCACACAACCTAGCAATAACTACAAAAGCAAAGATGTGTGCTGGCTTAATTGGTCTGATGAGAGCAAACCTCTCTTGGCTTTTGTTGTCCCTGCATTGACTATTGTGGCTATGAATTTGGTTGTGGTGCTGTTAGTTCTCTCGAAGCTCTGGAGGCCAGCTGTTGGAGAAAGACTGAATCAGGACGACAAGGCCACTTTCATCCGAATGGGGAAGAGCCTACTCATCTTGACCCCTTTGCTGGGGCTCACCTGGGGCTTTGGTATAGGAACATTGGTAGATGGCCAGAATCCAGCTTGGCATGTTCTTTTTGCATTACTGAATGCATTCCAGGTGAGACCCCACCCACCCTCCAAATAATAATCTATTACATTCTTACATAACTGGAATAAGTATAGATAACTCAGGTAGACAAAACAATTCTCTAGTAAGATTGTAATGAAAGCTATACGGAAACTATAAATTTTTTAAAAACGATCTATTTTCCTCCAAAATTAAGGTCATACTGAAGCAGAATATCCAGAATATCCAGATTTATACAGTAATCTACCATAGAGCTTTGAATCTGTTGGAGTTCCCATAACTAATGTTAATCCCTCTTGCTGTTACCTCAGTCCTCTTTCTCTTGGGCAGATCTCTGAAAAAACACAGAGACAGAGAAATAAATAAAAAGTACTTGTTGACTCTGAATGGTGCAAAGGAAGTCCCTAGAAAGCAAATAAGCAGGGCCAGCAACTGAACACCAGCAGCCTGTTTTTTTGCAAATAAAGTTTTATTGGAACACAACCATGCCAGTTCATTGGCCTTGGTCTATGGCTGCTTTCCCTACAATAGCAGAAAAGTTGCAATAGAGATAATGTGGCTGGCAAAGCCCAAATACTATCTGGTCTTTACAGATAAAAGCTTGCTGATTCTGCCACAAAGAATGAGTTTTACATTTTTATAGTCAAAAAGTGCTCAGAGTAGATGGATAAAATAATCCTTAGTTATTAATATATATGGAAGAAAGCTTTCAATCCTGGTTTAATGCAGGTATTTTCAGGTCACCTGGGACAATGACTGGAAAGTGGTGGTTAAATGTTTGAGCTCTGGAGTTAGGTATGCCTCAACTCAAATATTTATTGGAAGTCAACTATGTGGTCTTATTTGATCTCTCTGTCTTTCAATTCCTCATCTGTTAAAGGGATCTAATAACAATACTTACATCAAAGAGTAAATGTGAGGATTTGATGAGATAACTTAGCATTTGGCATAGTGCATGGAAATTAGTAAATGTTCAACATGTGTCTCCTAAAAGCAGCTATTTCTCTGCTCTTCAACATAGATCCTACAGGTGGTGGTGCAGATGGCAGTCATAAGGAACGTGCACCCCATGATGAGAAGCATAGGTGTTCCTGTCAGGGCAGGCACATGTCTGTATTCTGTCTGAACAAACATCAATGGAAGGTTCTCTGACTTGGAGAAGGATTTCAAGGTTGAAGAAAGCCCTTGCCAAGATTTTCTAAGAGCTGTGCTTGAAAGAAAGGTTGCCGATAGAAGTCAGCTTCCTCTGCTTGGCCCTTGGGTTGGACCTCAGTGCCAGCTGCTGTCATAAATGCATCGTAAATATTATTAAATGGCAGGTCTAAATAAGGACTGAGATACAGAAGCCAATGGAAGTGATTTGCTTCAGGCTTGGGATGGCACAGTAGAGGAGAACGAAGCTCCAAAGGCACTTATAACTTCATTCACTTCAATCATTTACTTATTTACACACTCATGAAAAAGTCCTTGAGTTCTTTGTGTTGTGCCAGGCACTGGGAAGGTCACACAGTGTTCCTGCCCTCAAGAAGCCTGCAGTCTAGTAAGGAGATAGACAATAAAACAAATTCAATGTTGGGTGATAAAACAGAACTAGGTTACATACAGGTGCTTTCTGTTCTGAAAAAGAAAAAAAAATAATGTGTGATTTTCTCCTTTTTCTTGTTAAAGGGTTTTTTCATCTTCTGTTTTGGAATACTGTTGGATAGTAAGGTATGTGCATATTCATTTCTCTCTTCATTCCCTAACACAGGCCTCTCTATGCTCACACCCCCACCCCTCACCCCTTGACCCCCCACCCCCCACCCCACTTCAGTTATGAGGCTTTTATTCATATAGTAGGAGGTTAGGCAACAGGTACTTTTGTAATAAAATTCTATAATTTTACAAAGTGTAGGTTCAGCCAGAAGACAGAAATTAAAATGGTCAGTGTTGACAAAGTTGTATAGAATTAATCACAACATGTAATTGTGGACACTACCAGAAGAGAGAGAAATTCTTTCTACGTTTGATTTTTCTAACTTAAATTATGGTGTGACAATGATTCAAGAGCAAAATTCCTCTACTACGGAGTAAATTCCCTTTTGCCACTTTCATTGTTCATTCATTTAAAATATGCTAAAATTATATCTACTTGCTGTGTTTTTAGAGCTTTGCATAGCAAATGTTAAAATAGTTTTCCACATTAGATAAAATTCCTAAGGAAGGACCACCAGTTTAAGTGAAAGATAATAGAAAAAAATTAATGAAACTTATTATTTTCCCCAAGCATTGAGCAATTCTGTTGAGAGAGATGAAGACAGAGGTGAAGCTTATTGATGTATAGACACTGTTTTAATAAGATAGGAATACTTTACAATTAGCATAATTGTTGCACATCACAAACCTCTATTTACAAAGAAACAATCTGCTGTTCTAATTGTACTAATAATTGCCTTGTTTGTACCATTCTCATGGTTAGGAAAACCTTTCACTTCACAGATAAACTTCAATTTAGCAATTATTGCCAATTACTGATGACTAGAATCTGAGTTATTGTGGCCTTGGAAGTGTTGTTCCTTGTTTAATGCTAGTTTTATTTATTAGTAATGAGGCTAAGAAAATAATCTTTTTACTAGATGGTCATGCCTGTAGTCTATTAAGTGCCTGTACGAAGTAATACTTAGAAATAATAATTTCAATCTGCAGTTTTTTTCTTAGTATGTTTGTATGTTAGTATATATGTATATTATATATATGTGTGTGTATGTATATATATACACACACATATATTTTATATATACATATATATGTGTTCCTCTTCTCTATTTGTTTTTGCCCTTTTAGCTACGACAACTTCTATGCCACAACTTGTCCCCACTAAGCTCTTGGATGCAGACACTAAAGGTAATTATCTACTGCTCCAATGCACGGAGTTCCAGTTTTGCATTTTTTTCTTTGCGGAATTTTGCAGCAGTCCAATTCTATATGAACTCCTTGGAGGTTTTTGTCACCACTGTAATATCCTGGTGTCTCTAAGGGTGCCTGGCACAGGGTTGATACTCTTAAAAGGAGCTACTGAGGGAGGAAGAGATTGAACTAATTAATGTAAAGGCATGGGAACCAACAAGGATGCTGAAGCATGAGGTCTGTGGGTGTTTGTGAGTATCTTTGAGCAATATTGTTCATTTCAGTTCCTTGCAATTTTAGCTCTTAAGTCTGCCATGTGATAAATTTATGTGAAACCGGAGGATTTCTGCTTCATTCTTTGCCACAAAAGTGCAGTCCTACTTTGAAACAAAAGTACTTGCATACCTATTTTCTATTTTCAATGTTGATTTAGACTTTTTTTCTTTCAGCAAGAGATAATGGGCTTTTCAGAGAGGGTTCTAAAGCAGAGATATCTGTGTTTGATAAAAAATCAACTGACTTAACTGTGTCCAAATGTGGGTGTTCAGAGATTTTTACCAGTGACGGTATATCCTTTTGAAATAAAAATTAGTGAGGAAATCATTTGGCATTAAGAAATCTTCCTTGGTATGCATCTCCCACTGGAAACCTCTGCTGTGAATTAGGGAGGCGTGGCCCATGGGCAGGCAGACCTGCCCTATGTTTCTGACTCTGAATCCAATTGACTGTGTGACCTTGGGAAACTTCCTTAGTCCTTTTGAGCTTCAATTTTCTCAGCTGTAAAAATTAAGTGTTGGCTTAGTTACTTAAGGAAGTTCTAACATTCTGCGATTTTGATTTTATGTCTTAAAGAATGAAAAGTCCTTTGAAGCAGAAAATGTGAAACTAATGTCATTATTTACTTTAAAGAAAAAAAGGAAGTTATGGAAAGAGAGGCCTTTACTGAATAAATGAATCAGGACATTCCCCACCCAGCAAAGCAGGAAGTCAGATTTTTTTTTTCTCATTTGGACATGAGAGAGAGAGAGGAGAGAGAGAGAGAGAGAGAGAGAGAGAGAGAGAGAGAGAGAGAGAGAGAAAATGAAATAAAATAAAGCAAAAGAAAAATGCCTGCAGTGTTTCTCCCTGTTTCTAAGGTCCTTTTCAGAAGGTAGGAGTGAGTGATCAGTGAGTACTTTGCTTTTTCTGGAATTACACCCTTCCCCAATTTTGTTTCCAACTTGGGTGATAAAATAAGATTTTGTTATCTGTTAAATAGCTCATCTATTCTAAAATAACTATTTGTTTTGCAGAAGAAAAGATGAGTATTTGTAATTTTATGAGGGAGTTTGAATGAAAAGCAGAAACCTAGATTTTGTATGATGAGGTGAAGAAGAAATAAGACTGGGTACTGATAGTCCTATCAAGAAACTCACTTATGAGTTTAAAAGGGACGGAGAGAGAGAGATAGGAAAGGAACAAGATGTGGACTCAGGACCAGGAGTGATGGGATCATTACGATTACTAGGATGGATGGAAGCAAGTCTGTATGCTGGGAGGGATGAATCAGTAAAGGCAGAGTTTAAATACAAATGGGAAAGTGAGGCTAAGGGACACAAGAGGATTCCTGGGAAGATGGACTTAGTGGCAGACTAAAGATAGGGTGACTAGCCACTACTCTTGATACAGGAAGTACCAGATGGATGCAGATAGAGCCACATGTACAGATTGGCATCATGGTGTTGAGAGTTCACTGAGTGATGGCAAAGTGGTAACGAGGTAGGGATCTTGGAAACATCAGTGAAAATATGATGTTTGACAGAAGGGAATAGAAGAGGAAGCCAGCAATGCTCAGCAAGGACCATCCTTCCAGCCACCAAAACTCTATGTGAACCCACAATGTAATTTCTTTCAATAGCCTCTTTATGCTGGGGCTCAGAGTTCCTTTCTTGGCCCTTCATTTCTCCCAGCCATGTTCTCTATAACTCTGCACTAAGAGGCTCACTCTGGTGGCCTCTACAGACACTTAGCCACAAAGACTGAATTTATAGACCCACCTTTCAGTTCCAGTGATTCAGATCCTGTTGTTCAACAGTTTAGATCCACATAAATTTATGTCTGACATGTTTCTTCCTCCACCTGGTAGAGTTTCTGAGTGTACTGTAATCTAAAATTACTCTTTCCACATGGGACAAGATACAGTTTTAAGTTCAATGCTCCCTAAGATTTTCCTTTAGGATTATAACATTATATGAACCTCGAATTCTGGGAAATCAATTGTTTTGCTTTGAAAATTACAGACCTTTTCCTTCTATCTATAATTTATTTTCAGAGCTCAGTATGAGGTAATCACTCATATAACTCAGTGAAGATTGGGAAACACTCACTGGTCTACCTACTGCATATAATAAAAACTTATTTCTCCCACCTTGGTTTAGCTTCCATATGACATGGACTGTAGCAGGGATTGGAAATTGTTCCTTCCAATATTCCTAGTGCTTAAAAAACAGTGCCTAATATACAGAGACATTCAACATTAGAAGTGAAATTAATGAATAGATGAATGATATATTGAGTGAAATGTGTCTAAACACCTTTATCTTTTCCAATAAGTGCATGCTCTCTCTTTTTTAAATATGTTATTTCATTTTGATAATTAAGTTTTAAAATTATTGGACTCTATATCTCTGCACCAATGACTGAGGGATTATTCAAAAGAGAGATAAATGTTAAATTATAAAAGAGTAACCCAAAGTTCTAACAGATGCCATTTTTACTAGGAGTACTGGTTTTTCCATGGGTTATTCTTTCAGTGACAAGGGTGTGAACCAAAGAAACATAAGCATGATCTTAAAAAGGGATGATATTATCAGGCTTAGTGGTGCATGCCTGTAATACCAGCTACTCAGGAGATTGAGGTAAAAGGATCATAAGTTCAAGGCCAGCCTGAACAACTTAGTGAGACCCTGTCTCAAAATAAAAAGTAAAAAAGACTGGGGATGTGGGGATGTTACTGAGTGGTAGAGCAGCCCTGAGTTCAATCCCTGGTGTAACCAAAAAAAAAAAAAAAAAAAAAGAAAAGAAGAAGAAGAAGGAGGAGGAGGAGGAGATCATTATCTCCCTTAAATCCATTGCATAATTGTTGTTAATAATAGTTGTGAAAATATAAAGAAAGGTGAAATTCATCTGGAGGTAAGTTCTAGGCATTTCAAGTAGATTAAAGCAGAGAAAGGGGTAGGGACTACTCTAAGTTCTTGAAAAGAGAGTCATGCTGACAGAATAAAAGATGGTTAAAGCCACCAAAAGAAGTCAGGAAATGCAGACCCCATCACCAAAAGAATACTATGAACATTCAAATGATTTGTTTTTCTTTTGTGCAGCAAAACTCCTCAGAGATATCTTCCAAACCCAACCGCTCAAAACGTTACTCAGTGCAAAACAAAGGTAAATCACCATAAAACCAATTATTACAAAAGGTGGGAAGAAAGAATATGAAAACATAATGCAAAGACAATTCAATGGCAGCTATTAAAAAATCTACATGAGAAGTGTGAGAGAGTATCAACCAGCTGTGGTGTCCAGGCCAATACTAATTTTGCTCAATGCTGATACAGCAGTATTGGGGATTTGATGCTCAGGGAGACTACCAAGTAGTAGTTTCATCACAAATTATCCCATTTCCTCAGTTAGACACAGGGTGTGTGTGTGTGTGTGTGTGTGTGTGTGTGTGTGTGTGTGTGTGTGTGTATGCACATGCGCAAATGCATGTAGATATCTGTGGTACTGATCATCCAAGCCATGGCATTGAGAAGTGGGTAGATAACATCAACATGTATCCTAATGGGAGAAATCACCCCATTTGTGCCAGTTGCTGAGCAGCAGGAATGGGGCCATGTGATTGTGTCTAAGTGCTGGACATATCCTGTTAAAATGTCCCAGGGGAGGGAGGAACCACACCTTCTGAGCATTAGACAGGACTCTCTCCTCCACCTATGATACTCATTGGTCCTACTTTCATATACTGGAGTTTCATTAAAGCTAAAGTTCATGAAAGCTCTTTTATGCATTTGTTCCTCATGAATAAAATGGAAAACTAAGAGACTGCTAAGGTTCCTTCCAGTGATAACATACTGTGATCTCAAATCTGTTATGTTATTTCCCAATAATATCTGAAAAAGATAGTACTTCACTTCTGAAATGAGAGACGCCTGACAAATGCAAGCTTCAGTGATATCAGAAATGCTCAAAAAAAAACCACATCTATATCTTCCCCAAACATCTTCCTAAACTAAGAGATTCCCAGCTGATTTTCATTTTGGTCTCAAGCTTGATTCCAACATGGTAACATAATTTTTATTTTGTTTTTCCCCCCTCAGGCAACAATGCAATTTCTCATAAGGGAGATTCCTCCAACAATATCATGCTTACTCAGTTTTTATCAACTGAAGAAGGTCAGGAACCATAAAGTCAAGGAAAAAAAGTTGGAGCAACTTGACATTTGGAGTTCAATGTCAGTGAAGAAATTATGGTCACTAGTGGCTTCATCACTGCCTCCTTCATCTTAAATTAAATGGAAAAAACTATTTTCATGTGGTTTGATTTTTTAAAAATGCTACATGGCTGCAGAAGAATAGGTTCCATTGGAAATTGTGTTAGTTATACCTTCCTGACTATGAAATATGGTTTCCTTTTTCATAAAAGTAATATTATTCATGTAGTATTTCTAATCACCTGAATTGGGAATATGAAAATGTCCTGAAGTAGCCTTAGATAAATTGATAAACTATGCTCACTTTCTTCTCAAAAAATCACTGGTGCCAATTTCTAGAGAAAAAGCATTTCCTCTCCAAATTTTCCAGTTGAATTTGATGCTTGTTTTTGCTTCTTAGGTGCAGTCTCTTAATGTTGGAAGTTAATCAGACATAAAATAAAAACTTCCATTTCAGATATTTTTGTAGTCATTTATCAGGAAGTATAAGAATGTGATTTGATAAATGATGTGACAGTTGCCACTTTACAATGCACTTTTGTGTGGTCTGCCACCAGCAAAGTGAAGTGTCCAAGCAGACCAAGCACAGATATAAGGAAATGGGGACCCAGAGGTAAATTGACTCACCAAAGATTGTGAAGCTAAGAAAGGGCAACAGGGAATGCTTCAGTACTTTGGATTCCTTGTCCAGTTCTATAGCCTCAGGACAACCTAGAAAATTATATACAATTCTAAGAAATCTTTATGAAGTTAAATGTATGATTCATCACCCCTAGAATTCTGTGTAAGAGGGGAATTGATGGAAAGACTTTGCTTCCAAGGAGGTACCTCCAAACATTATGATTTTCTTTTACTGTAGGAGCTTTTTGGAAGTTATTCACATGTACAGTCAATGCTGCTTTCGGATGAGATCCAGAGTACAGGTGAATAGATGCTAGAAGCAGTGTTTCTCTTACATAATTCTGTCACTTGGGGTTCACCTGAGTTTCAGCCCTGACCACAGTGCACAGAAGAACTAAGCCCTCAGATTCAGAGTTTTGAGAGTTACAGAGTTTGAAAGTATCTGTTAGTTCTTGACATGAAAACCTTCATCATTAATGGAAGTGGCTTATATAGACAGACATAGAGAAAATTCACAAGCACCAATATGCAGCAGCATACATGAAATACCAAAGTTTAAAGGAAACAACTGAGGACCAGTTAGTTAGGTATTTCTATATCCCACGAAGATATAAAAGACTACAAAGAAAATTTTATCAGAAACATTTCCTTGGAAAAAACTGATACATGAGCCTTCTCACTCCACCTACTCATAATGTAAGAGAAGGAGGAATGCTTGGCCCCTGACCTCAAATAAAGTGAAAGGACTTTGCAGATAGCGTTGTATGTGACCACAACAATTAAAATGTATTGGGTCCTAATAGGGTTAGATTCTTGCATGGAACTATGGCCATGGCTTTGGTGGGAGAGCCCGTTTAGGACTTTGTGTTGGGACTAGTCTGTATGCCCAGTGTGTGTGAGGGCAAAGGATATGTGTGATTTCCCATGGGCCATGGTGAGATGTATGAGAGAGCCAACTTGGCTTTGTGTTGGGTTCTCTGATACGGCCATCCAAAGAGGTAAAGGAATCCCAAAATCAAGAATTTGCAGATGAAACCATGGGATAAGGAACAAGTCACAAGCGACCGCCATGACATAGAAGAATCTGCACAGGCTACAGGAAACACAGATGCGAACTTAGGGCGAAGAGGATTATTTTTTTTCTAAAGTCTTCTGGGATGTTTCCTCTTTCATTATTTTGAGTTATTGTCCAGAGAGCCTGAAGGTGACCTTGTCTCATAAAATACCTCTCTTCCCTGTGGCGTTGGGCACAGGAGGTTTTCTTCAGTGTCCATGGGGTAGAAGAAGAATGAGAAAAACTAAACCACTTCAACCAGCAAGAGAAGATGTGTTAGTGCACGTAGAAGTCCAAAGTGGGACTTGGAGAACAAGAAAAATTTAATGCTAACTTGTTTTTAGTTTCTTTTTTAATGCATGATACTGGGAATCAGTATTTAAATTAATATCAAATATTTAAATTAATCAAGACGTTGCTATTACCCGAATGTACTGGCATATAACAGTATATCAGCGGGAGGGAAAGTGTCTCTTACTTAATAAATTTTATTAGAATAATCTGAAACTAAAAAAAAAATGTGTTTCATCACACACCATGTGTGTCTAAACCATTGATTATACACATGTGCCTAAAAATTCTTTTAAAACAGCAATAAAAGGATAAAAAAAGAAAAATATTGTCATGATTTTCTATTGCTATGATTTCTATTGTAATATTTTCTTCAATTTCTATTGTAATAACTTTCTACTGCTGGGTAAAAATTGCCACAAACTTAGCAGCTAACAACCACGCACATTAATCATCTCACAGTGCCGTGGGTAAAGAGTTCAGGCACTGCTTAGATGGATTTTCTGCTTAGGGTTTCACAGGCTATATTTAAGGTGCTGGCTGGTCTGTGTTTTCATCAGGGGCCTCAAATGGGGAAATAATCTACTTCGAACTCATTCTGATTGTTGGCAGAATCCATTTTCATGCCCTAGAGCACCTGTAAGTCCTTACCATATGGACTTCCCCAGCTTGGCCATTCACATCATTAAGTTTTCAAGCACAATCTCTCACTTCAGCCTGCTTTTAAAACAGTCTTTTTGAGTATAAGGTAATCAGGGGAGTGATATTCCATAATGTTTCCCATATTTCTACTGGTGAGAAACTAGTCCTCACCACAATCCAGGGAAGGAGATTTCAAAAGGTACAAATACAGAGAGTTAGGGATCACCAAAATTCCCCGTCAGGAACTCTCAAGAACAGGAAGTGATAATAGCAATACTACTTTGGAAAGCAGGTGGGTTGAGTGCTAACTAACTTAGAAAGTTAAATATTAAGCCAGGAATGGGGAATATGAAGAAGCCACTTACTTTACACTTCAGAATCCCCAGGGGGAATCAAGACTTGGCAATACCTTAAAAAGTGGTGTGAAAATTACGTAGACAATTGCATAAACACTTCACCCAGGAAGACACGGCACTGACAAGAAACCACATAGTAAATATCTGCAGCCATTAGGGAAATTCAGATAAAAGCCACAATAAGACAATAACCATCTACTTACTTGAATCTAGAAAATGCAAGATAATCTATAGTGACAGAAAGCAGATCAGTTGCCTTGGGATGGGGGCAGGTAGGAGAATAAGGCAGACAAGATAGCAAAAGAGTCTGAGGAACTTTGTAAGTTGATGCATGTATGCATATCTTGATTGTGGTTATTGTTTCTATCTGTCAAAACATTTCATCTTTAATATGTAGAATTTATTATGTTTTATTATAAATAAATAAACTTGTTTAAAAAGGCAAAAAAAGTGGAGTGGATACAGGACTGAATAGGATAGTTGGTTTAAATTGAATTTGGGAAGCAATGAGATCCCCAGAACCCTCTGTAAGCCATGTATTCAAGAAGCTGTCCCTTCCACCATCCTAGCCATAGGTTATATGTGGGGAAATGAGAGACACCAGTCCAATGAATAGGAAAGGAATAGGAAAGATAGTAGAATGAATCGGACATAACTTTCCTATTCACATATGAATACATGACCAGTATAACTCCACATCATATATAACCACAAAAATGGGAAGTTATACTCCATGTAAGCATAATATGCCAAAATCCATTCTACTGTTATGTATATCTAAAAAGAACAACAAAAAATACTTGCTTCTTATTGAATGAAACTGTCAGCCTAATGCTTGCTCTCTCCTATCAATTCTGAAAAAAAAAACAAGAATGAGCATTTTAATTATTTTTTAAGTATGGAAATAAACAGAAGTAATCAGTTTAAAGAGATTTGTCTCTAAGAGACAGAGGATTATAAGAATTATTTAGCTGTTAAAACCATATCCATCTAACTTTGGTTAAATACAAATAAAAGTGTGTGTGTGTGTGTGTGTCTGTGTGTGTGTGTGAATTAAGGAACATGAGTACATTAAAATTAGAAGGCACTTTGCTTCATTTGCTCAACCTCCGAGGCTTTGGTGCTCTGTAAGCTTAGGTGGCACTGGTTAGCTACCCTAAGACTTTGAGATGCCTGTGAGACAGACAGTTTGAGATGTCAGAGAGCCATTGAGTATTATAGCCTACTGTTCAGGGGAAGATGTGTCCTGGAGGGTCACCAGCATAAAGGTGGTACTTATAGCCACAGAGCCAGAGGAGACCCTCTGGCAGGTACTTGTGGAAAATTGAGGAGGTCCTTGTCACACCCCCATCATTTAAGAGATAGAGAGAAGAGAAGGGTCCAATAATGGGGAATGAGAAGGTAGGAGGGAAATCAGTCTTGTCCCCTGCTAGGAGAAACATGTCAAGAGGGACTTGAAACGTTCCAAAGAATATTTCATGGACAGCAACAGGTTAAATATAGCTGTGGGTCAGAGAAATAAGGACCCCAATTAGACCATTTGAATTTGAAGCCTGAAGGCCACTATCCTAGGCACTTAGAATAAGAAATTCCACTGTGGGAAATCTGAATACATAATAAGAATTGTCTTTTGACTTTGCATGGCCCTGTGTGTTTCCAGATCTGTAAATAGCTACTTTAAGAAAAATTAATTCTCTTATTTTCTCTATCGCTTCTGGAACAAATAAAGATGCTGAGAGATTGCCACTCTGTAGCATCTAGAAAGTTCTTCAAATGGATGCAGATTTCAGTAAAAACCCCAAATCTATTTCCTTGTAAGTGGTTGAGTGGAAAGAATTTGCCTTTTGTAAGAAAGCAGTGAGCTGTACTGTACTTCCCTTATCAGACTTCAGGGGGCAGGCTCTGACCAAGAAACAAATCAGGGTTAAATTGCTCAGCTTAAACACACCTGAGATCCACTCTAGAATTCGGGGATATAAAAGAAGTTTAATCCCATTATTCTAATTATGGAGAATTTGCATTGTTGCTGCTATGTTTATCATAATAGGAGAGATTATGGAGCTAAGGGCACAGGAGCTTGGTTTCCAGATGACAAACAATGCCTCTGTTTTTTGGGTTTATAACCAAGGTGCTGGTAAACAGTAAAGGCTGCTTCTAAGCAAAGGAGGAATGAGCCATCATCAGGGATGATTAGAAGGAAACAGCAGTTTTGCTTGCTAGAAAACTAGTGCTTCATTTATATTTTCTGAGGTATCAGTGGGTATACCTTGGACACCTTGTACAAATAGACAGTTAACTCAAGTGCATAGTTCATATCCTATGCTTTTGGGAAGAAATAGTTTAAACTGTATTGTCAGGTTTAACCACATGTCACCATGGATGAGTTACCCAAACTCTTCACAGACTAAATTTGTACCCAAGATCTTAGGGGTAAAAGGAAGAAAACAAAACAAACATTAAAAAAGTAACTTGTATGCAGAACAAGGACCTACCAGATCCTCAAGGATTGGCCAGGGCCAAGTGCAAATGGCACATGCCTGAAATCCCAGCTCCTTGGGAAGCTGAGGCAGGAGGATCTCCAGTTATCTTTTAAAAGGATACCATTCCTAACACTAAAATCATGAGGTAATTTTTTTTTTCTAAGAGTTTCTACTGGCAGATTATCCTGATAACTAAGGCAAGATAGAAGAAAGACTGGGACAGCAGAAGACAGCTAAAGGTGAGAAATCATGGAGGAAGAGTCCCATAGTTCCCTGATCACCACTAACTCTCTCATACTGAATCCACATCACACCAGGCTTGATCTTAACCAAATGTGCCTGGTGACCCTTCCCCGATTAGCTCCTGTGAGGTGATGTGGAGTTTTCTCTCTGGATCAAGGAGCCCTTGGGAGGCCTGGGCTCTAGTTCACCCCTTTGTGTCTCTTCATTTCAGTTTCCCATCACAGATCTGCATTCATTAGATAAGCTGAAACATCCCTTCCAGCCCTTTCTAGGCCTCTTCATGGGTAACACCCTGGGAGAAGAGAAATTTATCACCAGAGAATACCAGCCCCAGTGGGTTTGGCAAGTCCTTATCTTGCTGCGTAGGAATCATAGATAAAGCATGGCCAACAACTCCATTATGCCA